ACAGCCTGGGGTTGGGGTTGGTTTATGGGGTTCACAGCATAGGCACGGACAGACTGACCCACGGGAAGACCCAATGGCACCAGGCAGAGCCTAAAGCAGGTTAACCCGCTGAGAAGCACGGTTCAGTGAAAAGTTTGGCCTTACCAATTATTATTACCTGGTTTAAGTTGGTTATTAGCTGGTCGAGATAGTGATTATCTGTTCTAAGATGGTTATTAGCTCATCTGAACTGGTTATTAGCTGGTTAACATGGTGATTAGCAGGTCTAAGATAGTCATTAGCTGGTCTAAATTGGTTATTAGCTGGTTTAACATGGCTATTAGTTGGTCTAAAATAGTCATTATTTGGTTTAAACTTGTTATTAGTTGGTCAACAAGGTGATTAGCTGGTCTAAGATGGCCATTGGCTTGTCTAAGATGGCCTAAGCGAGTCAGTAGCTGCTCATATGCTGGTCTAAATTGGTCATTAACTAGTGTAAGATGGTCATTATCCTGTCATAATCTGGTCATTAGATTGTCTAAGATGGTCATTAGCTCATCATTAATGGTTCACCTTGGATCCTATGTTTTGGAACCTTTCTTTTCTATTGACCAACTGTTTATAATACTCACAATACAATTGGAGGCTCTGCCCCAACATAATAAGCACAGTGTAACAGCCTGGGGTTGGAGGGGGGGTTCACAGCATAGGCACGGACTGACTGACCAAACCATGGGAAGACCCAATGGCACCAGGCGAAGCCTAAACCAGATTAACCCAACACAGAGAAGCAGGGTTCAGAGTTTGGCCAAAACCCTCCTCCCACACCAGACAGAGAACTCCGTCTAACATGGATGGGATTCTGGGATAGCAGTTTGACTTAGTCATTGTGTCAAAATGGACTACTAAAACACACACACACACAAAATTCCTGCTTTCCCCAGAACCCCACAGACATCAGACAGACGGAGAGGGACGGACGGGCAGACGGGACAGATGAAACAAACAGGCACACACGGTGCAGTGGGACCCATGCGGCAGCAGAGGTCAGATACCTTTAGCGTGCTCTGCAGGATGCGGAGATGATGCAGTTTGTCATTTAACTGTGGATCGTTGCAACGCCGGATGAAAAGGTGTTTGTACTCCAGACGGGTGGAAAGGCGGTGCTCACCAATAGGCGACAGACTGGCACGCTCCAGCGCCCGGTACAAATCACCAAGCGAATCCGCCTGCCCATGGCACTCCTGCTCCCCGCCTGTGGGGGGCGCCACAGAAAGCCAGAGTTAATGAGGGGTGGCTTGACCAGCAAGGCAGAATTTTGAGTGGGATTGGATCAGAAATAAAAAGATTGCAACATTTAAACTGTGCATTTCAATGTTCAATCAGGTGTGTAGGCTGGTATTTGTATGCTGATGATGCTCGGCTCATTTATTTAGTTCGTTAGTCTGGGATTGTGAAGGTAGAAAGAGAGAAATGACATAAAACCTGGACGAGCAGTGTCTTTCATCAGGTTGGCATAGATAAATTCTTAATCAGACTCAGATTTATGTAAATATGGGAACATTTTCTTTCATCGTCTCGGTTTTTATCTGTTATCGTTTGAAGAAACGAGTGCTGGGTTTCTCTCCATCTCTGTCTGTCTGCAATGTACACACACATACACACACACACACATCTGCCCTTCTCAATGTGTTTAACACTTTCCTACTTAAAAAAAAATCTAGCTTAGAACTGAAGAGGTATTTTGGAACCCGTTAGATAGTTTCTAAGATTGGATTACTGATCTAACATGGACTAAGCTGTAAATTACCTGGTTTAAACTGGTCATTAGCATGCCAACATGATAATTATTTGGTCTAAGCTGGTCATTAGATGGTCTTTCATGATTTAAGTGGGTCATTAGCTGGTTTCAGATAGTCTAACATACTCTAAGATGGTCATTAGCTGGTTTAAGCTAGTCTTTTGCTGGTCAACATAATCATTAGCTGGTCTAACATGGTCTAAGATGATCATTCGCTGGTCTAACAGTCTAAAATGGTCATTAGATGGCCTAAAATGGCCATTCCTGATCTAAGCTGTTTAAGCTGGTCGTTTATTGATCATCAGCTGGTCAGCATAATCATTAGCTGGTCTAACATGGTCTAAGCGGATCGTTTGCTGGTCTAACAGTCTAAAATGGTGATAGGATGGTCTAACATGGTCTAAGATGGGATAGTCATTTGCTGGTCTAAGATGGCCATTCGCTGATCTAAGCTGTCTATTAGCTGCTTTAAAGGGTTAGTTCACCCAAAAATAAAAATTAGCCCACAAATTACTCACCCTCAAGTCATCCTAGGTCAGGGGTAGGCAAGTTCGGTCCTAGAGAGCCGCAGTCCGGCAGAGTTCAGCTCCAACCCTAATCAAACACACCTGAACAAGCTAATCAATGTCTTCAGGATTAATAAGGCTATAGGCAGGTGAGTTTTTTTTTCAGGGTTGGAGCTGAACTCTGCAGGACTGCAGCTCTCTAGGACCGAACTTGCCTACCCCTGTCCTAGATGTATATGTAAAGGTGTATATTAAAAATGGTTTAAAAAAAGTGTCTCACATGGCTCCGGGGGGTGAACAAGGGCCTCGATGCATTTTTGTAAAAAAAATATCCATATTCAAAACGTAATAATCACTTTAATGTAGCTTGCGCCAACAGTCCTACATGGAAGCAGCTTTGGGCGCATGACGTATGAGTTCAGCGTTGCGCATGCGCCGGTGAGTCTTGTGAAAACCAACATTTGTTTACAGGATCAAAGGAAGCAAAGTTTCCTTACCACTCTCCTTACCAAAACCAGTCTCCTCTTGGCTTATATTGAAATCCTCCGACATTCTTCTTTACAAATCCTCGTTTTGCACTTCTAATAAGTGACCGTTGTTTTGTTTTGATCTTTCCCAGCAAAGCTGACCTCATCTTGGTCATCCGCCCGGAGCTGCTTCCGTGTAGGACTGTTGGCACAAGCTACATTAAAGTGATTATTACGTTTTGAATATGGATATTTTTCTTACAAAAACGCATCGATTCGCTACAGGAGGCCTTTGTTCACTGTATGTGCTGTGTGAGACACTTTTTTATGGATGGGCGCTTTTTATTTAACTTCTTTTGGACTGATGCATGCAACACCTGCTGAGTGGCATTAAACAGCTTGAAAGATCAAAGACAATTTTTAATATAACACTGACTGGATTCGTCTGAAAGAAGAAAATCATATACACCTAGGATGACTTGAGGGTGAGTAATTTGTGGGCTAATTTTAATTTTTGGGTGAACTAAACCTTTAAGCTGATCATTTGCTTCAGCATCAGCTGGTCAACATAACCAGTAACTGGTCCAACATGGTATAAGCTGATCATGTGATTTTAGCTGGTTATTAGTTGGTCAACTCAATCATAATTATTAGCTAGTCTAATATGGTCTTTAGATGGTCTTACGTGGATGGTCTAACGGGTTGAGTAAGTGTAGTTTGGTGATGGTAGACACCTAAAGTAGAACATTAAGACTAGAAGACAGATCTTTAAAATGACATGTTCAATTAATTTAACCCAACCACCTTTCAAAGCAGAGAAAAACTCCCTTAAGGCTACTCAGGTTTGGCAATCAATCACTCTGACAGACATTCTGTCAAGTGGGTGGCATGTCATGTGTTTCTTTGCTCTTTCTGTCTGCATACGTACTGTATATGCAGGTGATCATGTGTTAGTCAGGATATAGGTTGAGTCACTCCAGTCCTGTTGTTGTAGTGTTTGTGTAGGTAAAACATGTGGGCCATGAACAGTATCTAGTGCTGGGACTTATTAGCAGATACTGTATGTAGGGCGTGTATTTAGACACTATTTTGAACAACCATAAGAGGGCAGCAGTCTCACACTGCGCCTCCCACCACATGCTGCAGATGCAATGTGTAATATATGTAGCATTTGGCAATGGAATCAAGTTTGAATGAACACTGAATAAGGAGGTTATAACAGAGCAGCTGTAGATGAAAATCAGTTGTGTACTAAAACAATTTGTGAATAAAGTCTAAATAATTATTCATTCCAGCATTATCCATTTATGCACCAAAGCCCCATACACATGTCTGATTATATGCCAAAAATCATTGGAAAATCACTGTCTATTTAGATCACTAAGTCAGGCCACGTCTCTCTAACTTTTTTAACATATTACTTTTTGTATATTTAGTGTGCAAGCTGGCATGCCCTGCTTTTATTACACGCCTGCAATAACTTGAAAGAAAAAGCATTTTATCGACCGCTTGGTTAGTCATGTGATGGATTACAATAACAACGACTAAACCGAAGTAACTCAATGAAGTTTTAAAGCTCTTTGTGATTCTTTTAGAACTTGTTAAATGGCACAGAACTCTGAAAACTCTGGCACTGCACGACACAATCTTTTTCTCCAGTTGCCGGGGAACATGCGATTGAGAGTCACGATCAATAGGCCGTGCCTCTCTTTTCTCTTCAGTATGTAGTACAGCATGCATGGGCTCTGTGGATGACTAACAGATGCCCCCTACTCCTCCAGAGAGATATAGAAACAGAGTGATATAAAAGACACAGATAAGAGGGAGACTCATTAAAAGCCACTGGGATTATATATAGCGGGCTGCTGGAGATCCGTCTGAGATGACGAAAAAGGGGAATATTAGAAGATTTTTGTATATTTAGTGTGCAAGCTGGCATGCCCTGCTTTTATTACACGCCTGCAATAACTTGAAAGAAAAAGCATTTTATCGACCGCTTGGTTAGTCATGTGATGGATTACAATAACAACGACTAAACTGAAGTAACTCAATGAAGTTTTAAAGCTCTTTGTGATTCTTTTAGAACTTGTTAATTTGGCACAGAACTCTGAAAACTCTGGCACTGCACGACACAATCTTTTTTCTCCAGTTGCCGGGGAACATGCGATTGAGAGTCACGATCAATAGGCCGTGCCTCTCTTTTCTCTTCAGTATGTAGTACAGCATGCATGGGCTCTGTGGATGACTAACAGATGCCCCCTACTCCTCCAGAGAGATATAGAAACAGAGTGATATAAAAGACACAGATAAGAGGGAGACTCATTAAAAGCCACTGGGATTATATATAGCGGGCTGCTGGAGATCCGTCTGAGATGACGAAAAAGGGGAATATTAGAAGAGAGAGTTGGGAAAAAGCCGATGGGAAGTGAGACGGGCAGATTGGTGGTGAGATAGTGGAGATGGGCAGCGAGATGGGGAATATAGATGGTGAGATGGCAATGAGCCATGAGGTGATAGACTGTGAGATGAGGGGAAGATGAAAAGTAACACAGGGAGATAAACAGAGTGGTAATCCAGCAGCAAATGGGTGGCTTCCTGTGGGGTTTGTGGAGAGAAATTAGTCTATCCAGACACCAGACCAAACAGAAAACAGGAGAATAAATAGTCCATTCAGAATTTACTGCTAAGGCTAAAGCAATAATCCATGAGGCAGAGTATTACAGTCATTTACAATCATTCCTCCAAGTAATAAAGTTAATTTGCACCTCTGTAGGGATTTTATGGTTGTCAAGCAAGTAGTAATATAGAATATAGACTCTTGTTTTATAATCAATAGTGTGATTATGCACTATAAAACGAGTTCTTTGAAAGCTGATTAACAACCAGGTATTCCCAAACTTTTTTGTCAGTGTGAAGTACGGCTTGAGATTTTAAGTTAATATTTCAATAATTTAACATCATACTTGCATGTTCATAACTTTTTTATGATGCTTAATGGTCAAATGACATGCAGATAAAGAAATAAAATATTTTGCCTTTTGCAGTGTTATTTTTTATTTTAAAGTATTTATAATTTTTATTCTAAATTTCAAAATCAATTTCTTCATTAATTTAATTAATTATTAGCTTTTCATCAACTCACAAACCCCCTGCAGTTCCCTCATGAACCTTTGGAAAACTTTGGTTTGGTCTGAAACTATTTTTCAAAAATCATGCATAAACAAACATTCAATTTTAATATTTTTTTAATTAATATTAAAATATAAATTAATATGAATACAAAGTTAAATTTAAGAAGCTAAAATGACAAAGCTTAAGTTCTGCTAAATGTTTTATTGTCCCTCGGGGAACAATTAAAATGTAAATTAAATTTAATGTAAATGTAAATTAGTATCCATGTTTCTGATTTATAAATTCTTAAGCAATTTTCGATTTGTGGTCATGATACATGTCCAGACACTAAAGATGAAAACTAACAGGCTTACAGAAATATCTATAAAGAAGCACTGTCCTTGTAAATCAAAACCAACTACGGTAAAGTAAACTGAAGTGGGTCAGGAGCTTGTGACAGAACCACAGCAATTCTGCAGGGTTAAAATGAGTTTCATAGGAAAGAGCATGCAGCTATTTCTGGAGACAGCCATTTTCAGGTCTCTCCAGAGATGTTCGATAGGGTTCAAGTCAGGGCTTTGGCTGGGCCACTCTTGTACATTCACAGAGTTGTCCTGTAGCCATTCCTGTATTGCCTTGGCTGTGTGCTTAGGGTCGTTGTCATGTTGGAAGGTAAACCGTCGCCCCAGTCTGAGGTTCTGAATACTCTAGACAAGGTTTTCATTAAGGCTCAATATTTTGGTACATTGAGCTTTTCTTCTATTCTGATGTGTCCCTCAGTCCCTACCGCTGAAAAACAGCATGAGGATGTGACCAGCACACTTTACTTTTGGGATGGTACTTGGCAGGTGATGTGCTGAGCTGGTTTCCTTCTAACATGATGCTTAGAATTGAGGTTCATCAGACCAGAGAATCTTGTTTCTCAGAGTCTGAGGGTCCTTTAGGTGCGGTTTTGCAAATTCCAAGTGTGTTTTCATGCGTCTTCACTGAGGAGAGGATTGAGTTTGACCACACCACTATAAAGCCCAGATCGGTGGAGTTGCAGTGTTTTTTTTCTTCTGTAGGTTTCTCCCATCTGCATATATGATCATGGAGCTCAACTAGAGTGACCATCAGGTTCTTGGTCACCAGTCTAGACAAGGCCCATCTCCATCAATAGCTCAGTTTGGCTGGGTGACCAGCTCCTGGAAGAGTCCTGGTTGTGCCAAACTTCTTCCATTTGAGAATTGTGTAAGCCACTGTGCTCTTGGGAACCTTCAGTGCAAAACAATTTTTTTGTAGCCTTACCCAGATCTGTGCCTCGATACAATCCTGTCTCTGAGCTCTGCAGGTAGTTCCTTTGACCTCATGGCTTGGTTTTCACTCTGATATGCATTGTCAGCTGTGAGGCCTTTTATAGAGAGGTGTGTGCCTTTCCAAATCATGTCCAATCAATTTAATTTACCACAGGTGGACTCCAATCAAGGTGTAGAAACATCTCACCAATGATCAAGAGAAATGGGACGCACCTGAGCTAAATTTCAAGTTATGTAAATGTGTTATTTCTGTTTTTCTTTTTAATACATTTACAGACATTTCTAAAATTATGTTTTCACTTTGTCATTATGAGGTACGGAGTGTAGATTAATAAGAAAAAAAATGAATTTAAACAATTGTAGTATCAGGCAGCAACATAACAAATTTTAAAAAGTGAAGAGGGTTTGAATACTTTCTGAATGCACTGTATATATATATCCCAAGACCCAACCCAAGTATCAGCGGTTTGGAGATCTATTATATTTTGGGGATGATATATACAGTATGTTATATATATATTATAATTTTGAACTACTGTTGACCCACCGTTATTGATGCAGTGTGAACGGCTGAGCTCCCTACGGCTGGGGTCCCGCTGTTCTGCCATGCTGGCGGAGGGTGTGAGGAGGGCATGCAGGCCGCTATCCCGAGGCAAGGTGAAACTGCGGGGTTTCCCGGCTGCATTAACGGGGTCTCGGAGCCTCTCCCCTTCAAGCATTGGGAAGGGACCGTAATGTTCCTGCATCAGTGTGCGTTGGGCAGGCAGAGTGGATTGGCGGCGATATTCCGGAGAAAGACCCGCCCCTGGCTCACAGAACACAGCGTCTTCTAGGGGCAGGGTCTGCAAGTAGTGGAGGCCTGAGCTGGTCAGAGGGGTTTCAATCAGGTCCTGCCATGAGCGCCGCTGGCTGGCGGACTTCCGAGCTGGGGAACCACCGCCACTGCTGCTGCCCCCTTGTGGTTCGGAGCGGTACTCCTCGTGAGAGGAGCGAGACTGTGAAGTTTCTGTGGATGAGAGGCGGCCGTGCTTGGGTTCTAGGTAAGGACTGGCACAACTCACCTGGTTCTGTGTAAGAGAAAAACACGAACATTAGGTTAAACCCAAGTATCGGCTAGATTGTAGGAAGCTTTTACACAACATCGTTCCTATTCTCAGGGGCGCCAGCCACCTTTGTTTCTCTTATTTGGAGTATCAAAGTAAAAAAAATGACCCAAAGGAAAGGAAACACTTAGTACGACTGATTTTGATGCTCATCATGTAACTACATTTTCAAAGGTATAAATCATTCATGCCCCTAAAAATTCACTAGGTTTAAAAATCATGAATGGACACAATGCTTTTGCTCTTCTGCACGTATCACCTTCAGGCAAAAGGCAAGAAAGAAGTGTGCTAATGAAGAAACTCAGAGAGTAGACCAGGCCCCTGAATACCCGCTCTCGTCTAAGACAAGCAGATGAATAATGAACAGAGAGAGAGCTCTGGTTTCGGTGAAAACTGCCGAATATAGAAAAATGAAGGGATAGGGGACAGAGGAGTGGAGGGAGAACCTGAAGCTGTGTTAGTGTGAAATTAGACTCTGAATATGGGCCAACCGCTCTTCCAACTTTCAACCAATTGGCAATGTTCCAAAAAACAGGTTTAATTATAGTTGCGATAGAACAATAGAATGATAGATAGAACGATAGATAGATAGATAGATAGATAGAGAGATAGAGAGATAGATAGATAGAACGATAGAACGATAGATAGAGATGCTTTGTAATGTCATGAAAACAGACAACTCTGGAGATCTAATAGTTAACAATGTCAATCTCTCCTAATTCGTTTCTCTATGGGAACAGTGTGTGTGTATGTGTGGAGGAGAAATGGAGGGGCCTTGTAGAAGGAAAAAGAAAACCTGAAGGAAAGAAAAGCGTTTAATTCATGTGGCTTTGTTTGCTCTTAAATAAAAGCTTTGCTGCTGTATGTGGCCTCTAGCTGACCTGCCCTGCAGTCCTGCACTGAAAATACACAAATCACAGTGACTCTTAACCAGTACACACACATAAATTAAACCACACACATTCAGGAACGCATACACATATAATGGCATATAAATATTAATATAATAATAATAATTTATATGCTTAATTTTTTTCACAGTACTACATTAAGTTTTTTTTTTTTTACAGTGATGAGAATTGTCATAGAAATCTTAAAAATAAGTTTTGTTTTCTTCACAAAACAAATAAAGAATATATTTTTATCTTTTGATTTTGTGTGAAATATTACTCAATGATTAATATGACAGGTTTCATAAGACTTGCTAAAAAGGAAATAAATATCCAATACTGTCTATCAAGACCACAGGGTAAATGTAATAGTGACTCACAAAGACTGAGAGATACGAAGAGAGTAGGGATGGGTGTTATCTTATAGCTTGTGATATACCGGTAAAAATTCTCCCCACGATAAGAATTAGTCTTCCCACGATAATAACGATAAAGTCTAAATGTTGACATATTTCTGTGTGCGACAGTGCGGTGCGACTGGCGGATGTGAAATTGAGGAGTATCGCTAAATGAGGAGCTCGAGCTCCTTTTACAATCTGTAACTGGTTTGGTTAGGGCTGTGCAGTGCACAAAAATCGGTATTAATTAATGTAGTACAGTAGCACGTTTGTGATACAGTTTTGCATGTGCATAAGCCTGTTTGCAAACCTGTTGTCCAACAGATATCATTTATTGACATGCTTTTTCTCCAAATTAACTTAATAACATAGTTGAGTGTTTGAAATACTTCTTTTTGTGATCAGATGTGGTTTCATATTACAGAATGATAGTATTATATATAGTGATAAAGGCCATGTCGATTAGCATATTGCATTATAAATATACCTTCCTTATAAAAATAGGTACCCAAGATGGAAGAACACCGATAAACCATATATTTTGTGCAATCGTATGTTTATTGTCTTCAAGTTTCATCACTTTTCATCATCAAGTTTCTCTATCTCCGTTGTGCGTTTTATTCAGCGATAACTGGATCCCTTCCTGGAGCGTTGTCAGTAGTATTACTTCTGATATGGATATGTGGAGTTTCTGCGCAAGGTCGCCATGTGTACTCAGTAATGCTCACAACACCCTATTTCGGGTAAAATTGGAAATATAATACTTTTCTCTAAAGAAACAGAATTTTTCTGGATTATCGTCATTGATATCGTTATCGCAATAAATACCAGAAATATCATGATATATTTTTAAACCCATATCGCCCATCCCTAGAAGAGAGACAGAAAGATAAGACTCAATCTCATTGCATCTCTACAGTTGGCTCAGAGATAAGGTGGTCTGACTCATTCACACACACACACACACACACACACACACAGAGAGTCAGTCAGTGACGTGGTAAGGCCAGGTCTGGGGGACGGCACTACAAAACAGCTCTTTTACAAATGCCAAATGTCAAGCATTATGAAGCCATGCTATTGTGTGGGATTACACAATGAGAGGGAGCCGTGTGTGTCTGTGTGTGTGCTGGATGCTGACTCACTGAGGGTGGCCGTGGGTACGTGTCATAAGGGGGCGGTGGGCTGTCTTGTTTGGGCGTCGAGGGCGTCTCATTGTCTTCGTGTTCACTTTCACTCCAGTAGTCTGCTGGAAGAGAGCGAGAGGAACATGCAGGGAGTCATTAGCTTGTTGCAAAACATTTCCATAAAGTAAACAATAATTAAATTAAAGCCTCGGAGATCATCTGGGGCACAAAGGCACATGCAGGTTTTTTCAATGAGAACCTGTAATAAAATGCTCTACTGCACAGTACCTAGACCTTCACTATAGTCTACCCTGATTTGTGATGTCAAACGCAGGTAGGAAAATCCAAGACAAAAGTCAATTTTAAAATACGTACGAGAGTTTTGCACATCGGTCTGTTATTGTGGTGACATTCCCACGCCCTGAAACGTGACGCTGAACGAAACGAGCTGTGATTGGTTGTTTGACATGTCGGTCAAACGGCCTCATGGACGGGCCTTGGCCAGTGAAAGCTGCCATGGATTCCAGACGTTCAGCCGTCAGTCTGAAGGTCTGGTTATGCGAGACTAAAGTTTGGCTGGTTAGCAGGTTACCCCCTGCTGACAGATGCTGTAATTACACCATCACGTTCTTAAAAGCATCTTTCTGCATTGGTCATTCAACATTGGCAGGAAATATTTTTATGGATTTGTTGATGATTTGCCAGTACTTGATTCTTTTAAAAGCTTAAAGGGATAGTTCACCCAAAACTGAAAATTCTGTCATTAATTACCCCTGATGTCACATGGACTATTTTACTGATGTCCTTACTACATTTCTGGGCCTGGGAACATTACAGTTGTGTTGCTGACTAGCTCTCGGATTTCATCAAAACATCTTAATTTGTGTTCCGAAGATAAACGAAGGTCTCACAGGTTTGGAACGGCATGAGGGTGAGTAAGTAATAACAGAAATGTTATTTTTGGGTGAACTAGCCCTTTAAAGATTCTATGCCGCAAACTTTAAATATTTCACATACTTTTGAAAATCCAGCGTTTAGTTGATCCTGATAAGCGCTCGTCATCACAGTTGTAAACACGACAGCTTTCTTTTTTCATGAGGGGGTTTGGCATCACAGCATCTTTGTTTCCAGGTGGAACGTTAAAGAAGGCGACACGCACGTCTCCCGGAAATCCTGTATAATTCAACCAATCCGATGACGACTTCGAAACTCCTTAAGTGTTTCAAAAGTCAGTCAACGGTCCGTGGGCGTGACGTCTGAGGCTGCTGAGACTAGCCAAACCTTGACCTCTGTTGTGGACTTGTGGATCACATAACATCAGTTTACCTGAAACACACCTACTTTCCTTCCCTTTTTTGTCTTTTTTTCTGCATTGGGCTATTTTTTAGACATCTCAACATCCTATGAAGATGATGTAGGAAATGTTTAAGACAAACATTCACCACATTTTGCAAATGCATTTTTTTAGACTTTACTGTAAATGTCTATGTTAATGTAAATGTTCTAAGTTTTTAATATTTCATAACTTTTTATCAAAATTTCAATATATAATATAC